ACAGATTGTTAAAAATAGATAAATATTTTAAGAATGTAAAGTACTCACTAAAATGAACGAATATTCCCAGTCTGATGTGTCCACAAACCAGTACCTACTCAGATATGGGCGATGTTCATGTGAAACCTACAGCTGGTTCTGCACGTGGGTCCCATGCATTTCAAAACGACTTTCAGCTCTTTGGCGCACCGGTTTGCGCATTGTGCCCGATGATCCTAGCTTCACTCTAATCCCCTGACAGGCATTCTGTGCTCGTTGCTGTGATACCTTGAAATCACTGATCGTCACTGGTCGACACTGAGTACACAGAACACTTCCTGTGTCCCCAACCAAAATACAGAAAACTGAGATCATAGAATCGTGAAAGACAATATTCAGGACCTCCGCATGTTACCGCTCTTCAAGGAAAGTCTGTCTGTGTTGGTGTCTGACAATGTAGAAAAAATGAAGTGGTGCCCTATCAAGAATGAATGACATATCTGATCGTTGTGAAGAGCCACATGTTACAGGAGTAACGGGTAGATCACTCAGAAACAAAAAGACGGTGCACTGCACCTGCTAGTCTGCTAGGAAAGACAAGGGGTCTTAAGATTCCATCATCTAAGGCGCCCTCCTAGACCCTGGCACACATATCTGAATAAACATTGATTCCTGGAAACATGTTCACGGTGCCCTGTTTTATTCATTTAATTGGGTACTATACACCTTACAGATTTTAACATCATTCTCTGTGACTTCGTGTATCGTTCCATTCCCCACCACTCCCTAAGTCCTGCTGCGTCCCATACCTTCTATACCATAGCTTCATCATCTTTTACTCCCTTGTCCTCCTCCATTGTCATGGCCTCCTGAGTCCGTTTCAGTGCTCACTCTGTTTCTCCAGTTTTGCAGCAAACAGCGTTCTTCAGCCAAATACTTTTGTATTTAATTAGTTACATAGTTTTTTCTGAGCAGCACAGTCGCCTGTGCCCAGGTTTCGGTTCATAAAATTGCTGTAATTTACCTTGGACTGTGGACTGTACTTGTATTTTTATTGATATTAATGTAACATGCATAACAAAGCAACGGGGCGATAAATATCTCTCATAAGCGCACTTAACAATAAGACGAATATGTGTTGCTATTTGCTAGGTATCACTCAGCGTGCCAATGGACTGGTGAGGTAGAAATAACACGTGACATATTTTCTATGTAGATTTTTTAGGCCACAATAGGACTGTGTTCTTCATGCGTGGTCGGTGCGGAGGCTATATAACAGGATTTATAAATTCAACAGTTTTCATTTTTATGTGACATAGATCTGAGTTCTTTGTTCTGAGCTCTGAGTGCTCGGTGAAAGATAGCTAAGAATTGTTCGTCGTGTGAAGACGTGGCGTGTTTAGAAAAATTTATTCATGCGTAATTCTTGGAGTACGTGATTCAGTGAGAATGTTGTAGTTCCTGTGTTCTAGTTGTAGTTCCAGGAGGGGACTGTTGTGTGTTTGTGTATAAAACACTGAATTATAAAGTGTAGTACCCATGATAGCGCTGTAATTACGTGTAATTAATTGTGATGTATAGAAGGAGTAAACAAACCTAAAAATCAAATCCCGACCCCGCGTAATTAATTACAAATACACGTGACAATATTGTTATTAGGATTATGAAATAAATTCGTCAATTTACTTGTCGTATTTTATTCATTTGCCTTGCTTTCGTGTCAGACATTGCCCAATTTGCCGTACACCGACTTCAGCGGTAAGAGATCCCTCGGTGCCCCGTTGCGGGGTGGGTGTCCCGGCCAGGATGGCCTTGAGAAATGCTTAACCGGGTTACATTCAATTTACCTACAGAAAGGAATGCGGGTCTTCGTGTAAACTGTAGGTCACATTTTCGTGAATAAGCATCATTATGATTTCCGAATGTCCAGTGTCATGGAAACCTGCACGAGTTGTCCTATAAGACCAGGCGGACTGCTGCATCAAATTTAATAGCCTTTCAGAAGGCTTCGAAACACACATAAAACAGGGATATATTCTGAATGGAATACTCATTGCAAGAGTTCAGGCTCCTATTTTGCAATCTTAAATATATCGAAACTTTCGTATAACTGTTGAAAAGGATTATCTCTGCTGAGGGTTATCACTTCGAACATCAAAGCTACAATTATTTAAGTAAAAGTAACAACAAATCGTGAAATGAGATGAAGGTATTACAGAAGGCCTTCTTTTTTTACTTTTCGTTTGTTACCTTGAATGACCTTATTCAAACAGTATGTCATTGAATTCCTAGCCGTCTTTTCTACATCCCAGTGAAATTTCTAAAATCAAAAGTGACTTTGATATCTCCATAACCCTTCTGAGTACAGAACTTACCTGCCTCGTCTAACGTCTTCCCTGACACGTTGCAAGTTTCGTAGGAATTCTTTTTTGTAATACGAAAAAAAGAAGAGATTTTCATGTTCCCGAATTTGTTTCGTTAAAATTGTAAAATATCATAAATCAATTCAAATGTAATTTATTTATTACGTTAAACATTACTCAACACGAAGTTTTGGAAGAAGTAGTCGCCTGCTTCCTTTGAATTGAAGTTGAGTGTTATACTTAATAATATTCTGACCTCATAGAAATGCCAGTTGTAACAAATTTTGAATGAAATGTGACTCAGTTCCTGAAAGCTAGAATAATGGAATCAGGAGAATCGTCCGTCAATCTACAATAGATCGGCAAATATTTTACAGTGGAAACAAATAAACACGCGAAGAATAAATGTGGTGGGGGGGGGCACAGACACAGAAAACAAAAAGTGATCTCATAAGCACTATTTTATTTTCTTTTAATAAGAACAGTAAGCTAAAAGTAAAAAAAATGTTTAATTTTTAACGAGATCAAGAGTCATTTTCAATGATATTTTTCTCGCTCTGTGCCACTTTTGAGAATTTCTGTAAATTACATTTACCATTTGTGACAGCTGCTAAGGAGAAAATGAAACAGCCACACATATCCTGTGTGAGTGTGAGGCCTTAGCTTATTTAAGATTACGTCACTTGGGTCAATAATTTATGGAATCAAGTGACTATTTCGACGTCCCCACGTACAAAATTAATTCGAAGTTCAGGATTGCTCAGGGGATAATCAAATGTGGAATCACAAAAAAACCAACGTACGTGGCCTTGCAAGGGCCGAGAAGACGCACCCCATCATACATTCATTCATACATTTGTCGCAATGAGGTTTTGATGGAAAACAAATCCCTGGAGCACACGTAAGTTGCCCTTTAAGATTTTGACTCACCTACATCTCAGTTCTTGGTACTATATTGAAGGTAACCTGTTTTCCTCTTTTAAGTGAGTGCTATACCCTATATGAATTAATATACCATTATGTATTCATTCATTCATCAGTGACTACATGGCTTCGTTGGGCCCTGTGGCATATTTAATTTTATAATCCTGTACACAATCGGAACCGCCTATGTGGTCTTGCGGTCAATGTTTCTAGATAAAGATGGAGAGGACCCGGGTTCGATTCCCGGCGCTATCAGACTTTCTGACAAATAGTGGCTCTGAAACCGGATCCACTTGGCCTCGTGAGGATAATTGAGGAGCTCCTTGGATGGAAAAGTAGATTAACCGGTATAGAAAACCGGTATGGACCACGCAGAGAAATCCCAGTTGTATTGTTGCATTAGGAGGACTACACAGAAAACAAGTCACGTGATTCCTAGCCAGCGTCTTCATTGGAAACACTTGTGTATCCGCATATCTACGGATTTGCGTAAATTAAAAGGTTTACTTTCTGTAAAGTGACAACCATTCCTACAAAAGAATAGCTCAGCGCTGGAACTGCTTCCATTAAAAAGAATCCTTAGCATAAAAGACACCGTGCCTTTAGTCCGCAAGCTAACTATACCGACCGAGCGACGAAGACCTGTCGGCGAAAGGGGTACCAACATTAGGGGATAGAGGGTGTCGCGTGGTCACCGCAACGAATCACCACGGCCGTTAACTTAGGTTCTCTAGACAGGAGCAGCTTTTTCTTTGAAATAGCTCCTCAATTATGAACACGAGGCTGAGAGGATCCTATTCCAGACCCAACATTTCACAGAAAATATGGTAGCGCCAAGGATCGAAGCCGGGAACTCTGTATATTTAGCCAGGATCTCTGACCACAAAACAAGAGAAACCTTCGATGTTATAATATGTTATATTAAGTTTTACTGTAAACACTTTTTGCCCTTTAACTATCCATTTGAAGTAACGCGTGTATCTAAAATATCTTGCTTGTTGCAGTTAAGCACTGTGGGATTTGTAAGATTTTCAACTTAAAAGAAAACCTTCGGAACTAATAAACAGAGTAAGGAAGGGGCTTACTGTGTTACAGTGAACTTTTCTTGGCTGATCAACCACGTCAGCGTGGAGTAGTGTCTGACATCTCTGAGAGGATCTCTGCTTCCTTCAACATGAGTTGATGGGATAGGTGCATGGTGTGTTCTAAGGTTATCGAAGTCAAAGTCACATTATTAGTGACGGTAAGTCAGTCAAAGAGACTTGAAGTGTAGCATCTGAGCACTGGTCATAACAAAGACTATTCTTTGTCTGTAAATATGCGGCATTTTTCCCTAGGTATGTTTGTAAAAAATCTGTTGCCTTCCAATGGGCGAAGCAAGTGGGGAAGAGGGGGCGCAAAACGCCTGAGGAAGATGACAATTCTTGTGTAAATATGACGTGTGAAAACAGCACTCATCATCCTAAATTCTGAGGATGGAGGGGGGGGGAGAGAAGAAAGTTTGTGTCCCTATCATCAGACGCTAATTGCACATAGATTCTCTTTCTTCCAACAGAAGATTTCATTAGTTCAATCTGTGGAATGAAAAGCCATTTCAGGTCGGGATATGTTTACGTTTTGGACAAACTGGATAAACATCAACACACCTGCAAGCGACTCGATCTGGTCTGAGTCCACCTATGGGATCTTAAGCTACATATTTCTCCTGTCCTTAGACTCAGAAATATTACGCCACTAAAATCGCAGCCCAGGGACTTTCCTATGGCGAGCCATGGAAATATAACCGCAAGGGAAGGAAACAACTGTGGGCATGCGCATAGCTACTAACGGGGGAAATCTTACGCGGACCCGTAATTTATTTATCCTTTAAAAGTAATAGCAGTTAGGATGCAAAAATAGAGTATGATAGGACACAAAGAAGATGATAAAATTCGTTACAATGGAATAATAAACCCACTCACATCAAATAAAAATCAGTTAAATAAAACATATAAACATCTAACAACATTTCGACACGGACCAGAGAAATCACACAAGAAAACTGAATCTGACGATGACTATACTATTCAAACCTTCTATTTTATGAACCTAATATACCAATCAGGCTTTCAATAAACAATACTGAGTTAATACAGGCAAAGTTGGAAAGTTAATTGTGAAAAATTAATGAAGTAGACAGAAAACATTTAAATGTGAAAAACAATTCCTGAACACATCTTCATACAATGAACAGAGGAGATTGATGTGTGAATATTCCTGTAATACCATCAAATAAAACTTAAAAGAGATTAATACAACTTATAATAATACGCAAGAATGAGCGTATGTTAATAAAACGAGACTTAATCAAGGAAATTATGAAGGCACAATGTTGAAAGTCTGCCCCTAAACATATCACACAGTAAAACGTTCATGTTCTGTAACCAGATATATTCTTGAAGCAAAATATATTATTTTAAAACCCATAATTCAGTTGATGCAATAAACATTTTCATAGAAATGTAAAATAAAGAATGTCTCTATAGACTCGCACTCTAGCGATGAATGGACATTTTCTTACACACATTAAACGAAAAGGTTATCCCTAATGTTATCCCACGCGATGATTGTTAGATTTCCGCCACAAGTGATCATTCGCTTCCATATCTCACGATCATGCTAGTTCTGTAATGTGTGATTTGAGATGCATATTCAGAAGGAAGCGGCGAGTGAACCTTTTCTTGCACAATTTACACGAGAAATGCCGTTCTTCACTGTGCACTCTCAGATGATTCTTCAGGATATATCTATTAGCGAAATTATTCTTACACACTTCGCAATAAAAGGGTCTCTCTCCACTGTGTATTCTGAGATGAATTTTTAGGTAATGGAGCTGAGTGAACAGGTTCTGACACACATCGCAAGAGAACGGTCGCTCTCCACTGTGTGCCCTGAGATGCCTGTTTAGACGATAGCGCTGTGCGAACGTTTTCTCAGACATTTCGCATGAAAATGGTAGTTCTCCATTGTGAATTCTGAGATGTTTGTTTAGGTTAGATCGCTGGGCTTACGATTTCTTACACACTTCGCAAGAAATTTGCCGTTCTGCAGCATGCACTTTGGTATGGTTATACAAATTAGAGTGACTTGTTAACTTCTTGCAGTCTTTGCAAGAAAAAGATTCTCTGAGACCTCTTGACCCTGCTATGGCATTATGCTCAGGAGTTAACAGTGTGACATACATTTCACAACGAGACATCCTTTCTCTGCTATTTCCACTTGAATGAACCAAGAAATTATTCCCTCGAGAGAATGACTTCTTACATATTAATCAAGAATCGAAGTTTTCTTCTCTGCTTAACAATTCTGTTTCCTGTTCACGACCAATTTCCTTGACATTAAAAACCTTATTGACGTGTGTTGCTTCAATATTTGCTGCTTTTAATTTAATACTCTGAAAAAAAAACATAAATGCTATAAGAACCCGCAGTGGAGTTAGGCTCGGAGACATTTTGCAGTAATAAACGAGTCCTTTACAAATCCTGTTACACAAGGAGAGACCATGATGATATTTTGTCCCAGCTTTATCCTCAAATTTAGTAATCCAAACATAAATTTATCTAAGCAGATACTTGCATTTGCCTGCCAATTTAAGTGGAAATGTTGCGTCTTACGCCATGCTACGCGTTGGCTAACCCAATCAGTTAAACTGGTCCTGCCATCAACCGGAATAAATATCGAGTGAAAAATCATCCTTTGCCTTGTATGTCTTGAAATTTGACTGGAATAGTTCTTGAAAATCTTACTGGTACAGAGCACGTTCAAGCGTGTGCAAATGATATTTCTGTACATAAATTACGTTGCAGGATCCTGTTCTACTGCACAGGTCTGACTCTGCGTTTTCCTTTAATGCCGTCTATGTGCAACTTCGGTGACAAACCCTACACGTTTCGGCCCTCTTCACGTGTACAAGGAATTTGCTGCTCACTATAAAACCGTTTTGTGCCTTATGCAGATGCCTCAATTAACTTCTTATTACGTTCGTTAGTTATCTGTTTTCAATTTGCTGTCCTTTATCTATATGACTTTTGCTTTATTTGTATTAGCCATGTGTTACGTTAGAGCTTTGTTTTGAGGTACATATTTATATTCAGTTAACGGGTCTATGGTATTATTTACGGTATTGATTGATTTGTTGCTTGCGTCTGTCTTGGTTGTTTTTGCTTGGTGTTGTCCACTATCATGGGCCGTGTTTGTAGGTCTTTTTGTAAGGTAGGTTGTGTTGCTTCCTAAGACATAATGTGTGTTGTGTGCTGCTCTCTGGTGTTTCTTTCATGTAATGCTATGAATATGTGTTACGTGTATCGGTGTAACTCAAAATAATACTATAATATATCACTTCATATATTACAGATAAGGCAAACACGTGCAGGTTAAGGAAACGAAAGAGAAAGAAAATGGCTAACCCACATAACCGGAAGTAATCCGAGGGAAACATAAGAGAAACAAAAAGCATTACAGTGAAAAGCAGATTCCTTAATCAGAACAACCTGTACATATGAAGATGGTCGGTTAGACCAAAAAGATATAGTGTCAAAAAAAAAACGTTAGAATAGTAAACGAAGTTGGATATAGACGGCATTGAACCAAAGCATTGACACTTGTTCTTGTACATTTGCTGAAATCTGGGATTAAACAGCATTAATTCCGAATGTGTAGTCACTTATTCCTTCTTTTTTGATACTTAAAATACTTATCCTGTGATTATTGTTGAGGTTCTTATTAATTTATATTAATTAACTATATAACACTCCCTTCTGTTATTTGCATCGGAAATGCGTTGCTTCTTTAAGAAAAAGACGGCCCGAGAAATTTGGAACTGGGGGAAACATATGCATACCGTATATTTGTGCTAAAACCTTTAGGAATGTAGCCTCGTAGAACACCAAGAGAGAACTGCGAGTGTAATAAGAGACAGGATATTAGCGGAAAAAATTTTTTGGACGTGTCTTAAATTGGAGTGAATTTCTGTTGTGCCTAAGTGTTTTGAAATTTCGCTTGTAACATGAAGGTCAGTAAGCCTACGGGGATGTGAGATTTATAGAGATCCATCACATAAACAGAGTGAACTGCAATGAAGATAAATGCACACGATGTAGTTGCCTGGGACATACAATTTAGATGAAGGCAATTATTATTTGAAGAAATTTAGTAATAAAAATGCTTCTACTATAAATTTATAATTGAACACACAACACTTACAGCCTGATTCTTCAAAGCAGGAAATGTCCAGTCAATTCGTGTCAGAATTACTTTTGGGACTCGAGTTGCTATGGAATGATACGTCCTTCGCAATCTCTCAAGGCGTACTTCGTCACTTGCTATCATTCTCTTTTCTTCTTCTTCTTCCTCTTCTTCTGTTATTCTATGGTGAACACACATGAAGATGAGACTCTGACACACAGGAGAGTGCAATGAAATGCATCACTGCAATATCAGAAAATGAAGCAATAAAATTTGATATGATATTCCAATACATGACTCGGAAAGTTTGCATCCCTGCTATTGACAATTCCAGTTCTTTGAAATTAATTACAGATTATGCTACTGCAATGCGTATTTACATATGAATACGTTTTTCCACTGGTTCTATTGCTTTGCACTGAATCGCAGTTGGTAAAAATTAACTGATTTTCATAGGCAAATTTTTCAGTCTTTTCGCCACATATATGGAATAGAGCCGTTGAGGGCTTATATGTTGAATTGAAGCAATTAAGCTGCCGTTCGAAGACAAAATTCAACTTAAGTTGATCCGAAATAGCTCTGTCTTTATACAGAGGAGCTGCATGCGGGACACCGGGGGTTATATCCCCGACAGGAACAGGATACTTTTCTCTCCACAGTCCAGAACATGCCTCAAACCCACTGAGACTCTCGTCTATTTGGTGGAGGAGGATATTTCCACGGCGGTAAATAGGCCCGGTCTTGGAGCTGATCACTCGTCTCCATAGTGCCGATTTCAAGAACGGTGCAGGTATACCTCTGTGGGGACAAGGCCAGGGTCAAGGTCATGTTACAACTGACGGTCAGTCAGTCTGTCTGCCTTGGTGTCGAGCCCCAGCTGGGGCTCATGACCAGATATTTCTTTTGAATGAAAGTTACTGTCCTGTCCATGTGTAGCGCCCTCTCTGACGAGAGGTCGGGTCTGTCATTTGTTAGTCAGTCTGTATTAATAAGTCCATTGTCTGTATGTAAACATATTTACAATACACACTTATTTCTTATTTAAATGTACAATATATACGCGGCCTCTGTCAGTCCAGGCTAGTTACAGCAGATTATGCCCTTTTATATGTAT